ATCGGAGAGCTGCTATGATGACCTTCTTCTTCATGGCACTCAGGAGCCGATCGGATCAGTATCGAAAGAGGAGCCCAGCCACAGCACGATGACGCGTGTGTTATAGATGGCCATGAACCAGGTGCTAACCATTGAAGCCGTGCTCCAGATACTGTTCAGTGCAGGTGGACATGGCATAGATTGGCCACTGGCATCACTCTAGATGTAACAGGAATGCTGGCCACCCTGGCATGGGCCCAGATGTCATCACCCAGTTCACGGGACTTGGCGTCAGATATCTTTCTCTCCGGATAAAGTAACTGAGTAGTACCTGCAAAATCTTAGCGCAGCAAATTCATTTCCAGGAGAAGATCTGTTTACATTGGAGAATCTACACACTTAAAACTAGCGAGTGAAAAAAAATGAGGTCTTTTATCCCTGCTCAGATATCACGGACCACTGGAGAAGGGGAAGTCCAGACCTTGAGCTACTAGGACTCAGTTGGCTAACCTCCCGTGCTCACTCGGGTCACGATCTCGCACGTTACCGCGTGAGTTCAGTGAACAGCTTGGCTCCTTCGGTGCTTCTGCCTCACCTGAGTCCTGCATTGGTATCCCCCGCACTGTCCCCAGCTGCAGTCTGCCTCCCTTCCGCTCACACTCTCTCTCCAAAATAAATTTGAAAGCATTTTTTTTTAAAGTTAAAAAAAAAAAAAGGTTAAGAAGGCGCCTTCTTTGTGTCTCAGTGGGATGCGTCAGGCCCACTTCAGATCAGGTCATGATCTTGGGGTTGTGGGTTCTCCCCCAGCCCCAGGTCTAGGTTCTGTGCCGACAGCTCAGGAGCCTGGAGCTCTTTGATTCTGTGTCCTCTCTCTCTTGTTTCTGTTCTTCTCATTCTCTCTCTCTCCAAATAATACAAGATTAAAAAAAACATTAAAAAAAAAGGAAGTTAGACCTTAAGTTTGAGGACTTTCCCACATAATAAAGTACACTAGCTAAAAAGTACCTTTTCAAAAAATGAGCAGAAAGCGCCTGTCATATAGGACTCTCAAGACTATAAGGAAACAAGTAAAATCATTTCATTTCATAGCTATTATCAAATATTGCCACTAGCAGTAGATCCCCAAAGAGTGCCTTCAATATAAAGGATCTTCCCTCTACATTAGACATCTATTTTTCATTTAATGAAAGGGTAACTTAGCAAAAAAATTTTACAAAGGCAGAAGAAGCGTAAGTGCAATTTTCAAACGGAATAACAGCCAATAAGGAAAGATTGTGTACAGATTTCATCCAAAGCAGCCTTGGGCCTGCGGGTGCAGCACTGGATATCACTAGTTTACAAGCAAGTCACTGGGCAGATGGGCCCCTATGTGAGGACGATCGACAAAGGTCCTTGCACAAACTCAAATTCAACCTGAACAAAATTATTCCTGCTCTAGCCATTGTTCCCATGATAATCACTTCAGTGACCTAAGAACAATTACGTCTAAAATGCCTGCCTTAGATTTTTGTTAAATCAGATCACCCTTTCTTCCTTCAGCTTCAACTAGAAAACTGCAAAAGCACTTTGTTTCAATATCACCAACATTTAGGGGAACTGAGTTAATTCTTCAGGACCCTAAGAACCATATCTGTCTTCATGAAAGAGGCTGCCACCAGCCATAGACCTATGGTGAGCATGGTCTCTGTGGTCGTCTCAAGAGCTGAGCCTTTCCACCCTATTAACATTCATCACTTATGAGGTCAGATAGATGACGCCTCCCTGCCACAAAGGATCCTGAGCACCACCTATATGCCAGGTAGTCTGCCGGCACTGGTTACAAGATGAAAAAGACCGGAACATCCCTAGACTCCATGCGGAAAAAAGGCATGCAGATGAGCAATTATGACAGGAGATGATGGCTCTTCTAGGGTGTGCCAATGGAGTACCGGAAAGGGCACCTGGGAAAATGTCAGCAGAAGGTTGGCACGCATGGTGGAGTCTGGCAGGGACAGGCTGGGGGAGAAATGTTCCAGGCTGAGGGAATCTGATGTAAGCAATGACCATGGATGATCAGGCATGGATGGAATGTGGTGAAATGTGTTTCTAGATCTTTTCTCTGGGAGGAAAGAAAGAGAAAGAAATTACATAACAAAAGGTTATCCATGCCCTCACGCGTCTTTCTCTGGAGTATGCAAGCCATTCAATCACAACTCATCAGTCCACTGTAGGTGTTGTGCCCCACATGAACTTCACTTTAGAACTGACAGGTAACAAGACCAGGCTCCCACTGTATTATTAGAAAAAGCACACTGGGCTCGCTATAAATCATTTTTATAATTTACATCACTAGAAGATGATAGTGGCCTCCCAACAATCTGACTCAGGGCCATGACACAAAATATGTGCAGAAAGAAGTGAGAGAAAGGATTGTCTTCCCTTCATCTTATGTACGACCCTACCCACATGACAGTAATCTGTTTCTCTTATAATAAATGGGATTTTTTCAGTCTTTTTTTCCTACTAAAGCGACTTATACTTACTTTTGTTTTTTTTAAATCATAAAAAAATACAATAGATTTTTGGCTGAAAACAGAATAAGGATTTCTTATTGTTTACATTGGCTGTGTCTAACACTGAGACCCAGAACCAACCCTCGGGGAGTTACTGCATAGCTTCCTCAGGCCGCATGGCACAATGTTAATCCTGTGTTCACACTCTCTGCATCTATTGTAAAACGTCAGGGCTCATAACGGCATGATGCACAATAGCCAGAAAAGTGGAAACAACCAGATGCCCTTCAACTAGCTAATGAACAAAACAGGCATATCCAAGGAGAATATTTATTCAACAATATTTAAAAAAAAAAAAAAATGGAGCAAAATTTTAAAAGAGTAGATTCTAGAGTTCTCCTTACAGGGAAAAAACACAATTTTTTTTTCTTTCTTTTGGGGGTCGAGGAGTTTCTGTACAAGACAATGTGTTAACTAAACACTCTGGCAATCATTTCAATTACGTAAACCCAGTCATTCTGCTTATATCTTGAACTTCTAGCATTGCTATACATCAATTATATCTCAAGAACTGGGGATAAAAGGGTGAAGCTGTAAAGCTACTGCATGGATGAACCCTGAAAACATTATAGCTGAGGTGAAGGAGCTTCGACACAAAACAAAGTGGTGACTCCCACAATAAAGATATGTCCACAAAAGCAACAAATAGAGACGGGAAGGTGGTCAGTGGTTGCCTTGGTCCACTTAGGTAGGAAAGGGAAGTGACTATAAGCGATGAGGAGGTTCTTTTTTTAGGGTCATGAAGATACAAAATGAGTTGGTGATGGCTGCACCTCTCTGTAAAAATATCGGTTATTAAGCTTGTACATAAAATGGTGAATTTTATGACATGTAAATAAAATATCTCCACAAAGCAGAGTTTGAGAACACTTCAAGAAAGAAAAGCCGAGCCTGGTGGCTCAGTGGGGTCGAGTGACGAGCTTCAGGTTCAGGTCATGATCTCAGCTGTCCGCTGAGTTCGAGCCCGCCTGCGGGCTCTGTGCTGACCGCAGAGCCTGGAAGCCTGTTTGCAGTTCTATGTCTCCCTCTCTCTCTTGCCTCCCTGTTCATGCTCTGTCTCTTCTGTCCCAAAATGAATGAAGATTGAAAAAAAAAAATTTAAAAAAAAAAAAAAGAAAAAAAAAAAAAAAGAAGAAAGAGCCCATCATCGAGCGAGTGGAAGACCTCACCAAGCAGGTGGCAGAAGGAGTGGAGGACCCTGCTTCAACATGGAATAAGATTAAAACATCCTAAAATGCATTAGGGCATCCACCGGGTGTAAGGACTTCACTCCAACCCCTTGTTTCGATTCCAGGGTCATGTCAGTGGCACTTTCAGATATTCAGAGACATCTTGCTGAAAGGAGACATTCACATGAGCTGACAAAATGGCATGACCATGAGGGGCAGTCAGCTTGCTGGAAGGGATTGAGTGACGCACATAATCTTTTTTTGAATGAAATTAGTTGCCATGCATTTAATAGCACTAAACTCAGGGCACCTGGCTGGTTCAGCTGGTAGAGCATGCCCTCTTGACCTCAGGGTCGTGAGTTCAGGCCCCGTTAGTGTGAGGTCATTTAAAAAAAAATCTTAAAAAAAATTAAAATGAATAAACTCAGATTTCTGATTTCTCTTCTAAAGAAAATGAAAGTCCAACATTTCTGTCTTTCTTCTCTACCTCTTAGCTTCTCTCCCCTTGGTTGAAAAATGCAATTTAATGAGGCAAGACCTGGTAAAGTGCTTGTAATGTTTTCCAACCAACACTGCAGACATAATTTTCTGAGGCTTCAGTGATGTTAGAAGAATGTCAAGATAATCAAGAGAGTATCTCCTTGCTCACCCCCTGGCACAGCGGTTGCCATGTCTGTCGGATGGGGGTGGGACAGCCATTCCTTGTCTACAGCCCAGTGAAAGAGACGAAGGGCTTCAGGAGAAACTGAGTCATAAGATCAGGCCTTCTAGAGAAAAGGTGTCAGGTGTCAAATGCCAAGTCCCTATCTCCCCTGAAGATACAGATCAATATTAAACATTTTTAATACTTGTCATAGTTGAGTGAATCAAATGGGCATTTTCTTTGTGGCCACACCCCTCCATAATTATCTTGGGCTTCCCACAGAGGGCCCCTACTCCCTTTGAGCTCACGGATGTTCTTCTCTCCCTATATTTCTGCTGGGTCCTCAGAAAATGCACATGGAGGGCCCACTCCAAGCAAGGCCCTTTCCACACCGTCCAGCTTTTGTCTCCACAGAGAGGAACGCCATCTCTATACCAAGGACACACATCACTGAGATAAATATATATACTCCCTCAATAAAGAGGACAATTGATTTTGTATAGGTTTCCCTCTCATTCCAAAAGCATTTGGCCCACACAGGAGGAGTCAACCCATAGTTGGCTGCAATGAGATCACACAAATCGCAGGGCCGGCCAGAGTGAAGGGAGGGCAGGGGTGCGGGAGCTCCCTGCTGCTTCCAGGGATTTACAATCCTTACTAGGAATCCACCTTCGGGAAAATGCTCACTTTATTGTTTCTGCTCATCTTCCGCTCCACCCTGCCTACCTTGGGCATCTTTGTCTGAATAAGCTCCTCTGGGGTGTTACCCAAGGGGGGAAGCAGCCGCTTCTTGCTGTTTCGGGTCTCCGAGAGCCACTGGGGAGGCAACTCGAAAGGCCCAAAGCCAAATTGCAGAGAATACTTGTCGGGCAATGTTTCAGGTTCCGCGGGGGCCGCTGGCGCCACCTGGGATAAAGAGTCCGCCGCGCACAGGAGCGGCCTAGGAGGCGCAAACTGGGGATCCCCCTCTCCCTCCAGGCAGGTGCTAAGTATCTCCTTGGCCTGGAGGTCGGCTGAGCCAGTGTACTTGGCTTCACTCTCTTCCTCGTCCTCCGTGGGCTTAAAGATCTGCTGCTGCCCAATGTGGAACATCTCCAGGAGCTGGCTGCCCGAACGCAGGCTGGGCTCCAGGCTGGCGTCAGCCACCCCACCCGCTGCGCCCACCACATTACGGCGACTGTACCGGTGATGCAGCTGTATCAACGTGCCTACCAAGCACTTGCGGACGGATTTGTTCACAGTAAGAAAGAGCACAGGGTTCGCCAGCAGAGAGACTTTGGGCAGCCAAATGGCAGTGAGCAGCAAGAAGACAGACGTGTCGGGGACGTTGAGCACAGTCTGGTAGACAACCAGGGTGGCGTAGGGCACACTGCATAAGATGAAGACCATCACCATGGAGAGCAGGGTGGCGTGCAGCTCTGCCTCCCGCTGGGAGGCATAGGGGATAGAGATGGTGTTCTGCGGGGTCCGGAGAGCTGCTATGATGACCTTCTTCTTCTGGCTAGCACTCAGGGCCCGTCGGATCAGTATCAAGAAGAGGAAGACCACAGCCACAGGCACGATGACGGTAGTGATGTTATAGATCAGCACGTAGACCAGGTGGCCCAACGAGTTGCTCCAGACTTCAGTGCAGGTGGACATGGCATAGATGTCGGCCACATTGGTCACTGCGAACACAGGAATGCTGGCCACCACGGCATGGGCCCAGATGTACATCACCAGTTCACGGGACTTGGCGTCAGATATCTTTCTCTCCAGCGGATAAAGAACTGAGTAGTACCTGCAAAATGCGCAAGCAAAATTCATTTCACAGGAGAAGATACTGTTTACATTCGGGGAATCTACATCACCAAAACTAGGCGAGAGGGGGAAAAATGAGTCAAGTTCTTTTATCCTGCCTAAGATACACGGGACCACTGGAGGAATTAGGAAGTCAGACCTTGGGGTACCTGGGTGACTCAGTTGGTTAACCCTCCTGCTTCGGCTCGGGTCACGATCTCGCAGGTACCCGGTGAGTTCAGTGAATGCATTGACCTTGGGCTCCGGTGCTTCTCAGCCCGTGCAGCCTGCATTGGGATCCCACAGAACATGTCCCCTCGCTCGTCTGCTCCCTCTCCCTGCTCACACTCTCTCTCAAAAATTTAGAAACATTTTTTTTTTAAGTTAAAAAAAAAAAAAAGGTTAAGAAGGCTGCCATTGTATGTGTCAGTCGGATGACGTCCAGGCCCCCTTCAGATCAGGTCATGATCTTGGGGTTCGTGGGTTCTAGCCCCAGGTCAGGTTCTGTGCCGACAGCTCAGAGCCTGGAGCCTGCTTTGGATTCTGTGTCCTCTCTTCTCTCTGTTTCTGCTTTGCTCACATTCTCTCTCTCTCTCTCCCAAAAATAAATAAAGATTAAAAAAACATTAAAAAAAAAAGGAAGTTAGACCTTAAGTTTTGAGGACTTTCCCACATAATAGAAGTACACTAGGCCAAAAAAAGTACCTTTTCAAAAAATGAGCAGAGAAGCGCCCTGTCATATAGGACTCTCAAGACTATAAGGAAAACAAGTAAATCATTTCATTTCATAGCTAGTTATAAATATTGCCACTAGCATTAGATCCCAAAGAGTGCCTTCAATATAAAGGATGTCTCCCCTCTACGTAAAGACATCTATTTTTTCAATTTAATGGTAAAGGGTAACTTGTAAAAAAATTTTACAAGGGCTAGAAGAGCGTAAGTGCAATTTTCAAAGCCAATAAGAGAAAGAAATTTGTGTACAGACATATCCAAAGCAGCCTTGGGCCACAGTGCATGCATGGATATCATTAGCATTTACAAGCCGCCCAGGGCAGATGAGCCCCATGTGAAGGACGGACTCTGACAAGGTCCTTGCACAAAATCAATTCAACTGACAAAAATTATTCCTGCTCAATAGCCATTGTTCCCATGATAATCACTCAGTGACCCTAAGAACAATTACGTCTAAAATGCCTGCACGATTAGATTTTTGTTAAAATCAGATCAGCCCTTTCTTCCTTCAAGCTTCAACGTGATCAGAACTGCAAAAGCACTTTGTTTCAATATCACCAACGATTTAGGGAAACTGAGTAATTCTTCAGACCCTAAGAACCATATCTGTCATGAAAGGGCTGCCACCAGCCATCAGACCTATGGTGAGCATAGGTCTCTGTGGTCAGCTAAAGCTGGAGTCGACCTTCCACCTCTATTAACATTCATCACTTATGGGGTCAGATAAGCATGCGTGCCTCCCTGCCACAAGGATCTCTGAGCACCACCTATATGCCAGGTACTGCACCAGGCACTGGGTTACAAAGATGAAAAGACACACAGGAACATCCCTAAACTCCATGCGGAAAAAAGGCATGCAGATGAGCAATTATGACAGGAGATGATGGCTCTTCTAGAGGTGTGCACAAAGGAGGTACCGGAAAAGGAGCACCTGGGAAAATGTCAACAGAAGGTGGCACCGTGGTGGAGTCTGGCAGGGGACAGGCTGGGGGGAGAATGTTCCAGGCTGAGGGAGATACGATGTAAGCACATGACCATGGATGATCAGGCATGGATGGAATGTGGTGAAATGTGTTCTAGATCTCTTTCTGGGAGGGAAAGAAAGAGAAAGAATTACATAACAAAGAGTTATGCATGCCCTCAACGTCTTTCTCTGAGTATGCATACATTTCTAATCACAACTCATCAGTCCACTGTAAAGGTGTTGTGCCCACACATGAACACATTCCCATTTAGCAACTGACAGGTAACAAGACCAGGCTCCCACTGTGTATTAGAAAAGCACACGGGCTCGCTATAAATCATTTTGTTAATGTTTACATCACTAGAAGATGATGTAGGAAGTGGCCTCCCAACTAACTTGCTGACTCAGGGCCATGACACAAATATGTGAGAAAGAAGTGAGAGAAAGGATTGTCTTCCCTTCATCTTCATGCACGCCCTACTTACACTTGACAGTAATCTGTTTCTCTGTATAATAAAATAGGATTTTTTTTACCAGTCTTTTTTTTCCTACTAAAACGACTTATGTACTTTTGTTTTTTTAAATCATAGCAAAAATACAATAGATTTTTGGCTGAAAACAGAATAAGGATTTCTTATAGTTTACATATTTTCTTGTCTAACACTGAGGGCCCAGAACCAACCCTCGGGGATTACTGCATAGCTTCCAGGCACGATGGCAACATGTTCAGAATCCTGTGTTCACACTCTTACTGCATCCTATTGTAAAAATCTTCCAGGGCTCATAGCAGCATGATGCACAATAGCCAGAAAGTGGAAACAACCCAGATGCCTGTCAAGTAGTAAATGGGTGAACAAAACATGGCATATCCACGCAAGGGAATATTTATTCAACAATTTAAAAAAAAAAAAAAGAATGGAGCAAAATTTTAAGAGTAGATTCTGAGAGTTCTCCTTGCAAGGAAAAACACCACATTTTTTTCTTTTCTTTTTTGGGGGGTCGGGGAGTTTCTGTACAAGACAATGGATGTTAACTAAACTTACTCTGGCAATCATTTCACAATATACGTAAACCCAGTCATTCTGCTGTATATCTTGAACTTCTACATTGCTATACATCAATTATATCTCAACAGAACTGGGGATAAAAGGGACGAAGCTGTAAAGCTACTGCATGGATGAACCCTGAAAACATTAAGCTGAGTGAAGGAAGCTCGACACAAAACAACAAGTCGAATGACTCCACAATAAGATATGTCCACAAAAGCAACAAATAGAGACGGAAGGTAGGTCAGTGGTTGCCTTGGTCCATAGGTGGGAAAGGGAAGTGACTGTAAGCGAGCAGGAGGTTTCTTTTTAGGGTCATGGAAATGTTCTAAATGTCAGTTGCGGTGATGGCTGCACCTCTCTGTAAAAATACGAAGATTCATTAACTTGTACACTTAAAATGGGTGAATTTTATGACATGTAAATAGTATCTCCACAAAACGGTTGAAGAACACTTTCAAGAAAGAAAAGCCCGGGGCGCCTGGGTGGCTCAGTCGGTTGGGCGGCCGACTTCGGCTCAGGTCACGATCTCGCTGTCCGTGAGTTCGAGCCCCGCGTCGGGCTCTGTGCTGACCGCGCAGAGCCTGGAAGCCTGTTTCGGATTCTGTGTCTCCCTCTCTCTCTGCCCCTCCCCTGTTCATGCTCTGTCTCTCTCTGTCCCAAAAATGAATGAACGTTGAAAAAAAAAAAATTAAAAAAAAAAAAAAAAAAAAGAAAGAAAGAAAAGCCCATCTCGCAGACGGAAGATGGAAGACCTCACCAAGCAGGTGGCAGAAGGAGCGTGGGAAGGACCCCTGCTGTCAACATGGAATAGTTAAAACATAAAATGCATTAGGGCATCCACCCGGGTGTAAGTGGACTTTTCACTCCAACCTTACCTTGTTCGATTCCAGGGCTGTGCGATGGCACTTTCCAGATATTCAGAGACATCTTGCTGAGCATGGAAGAGACACGCACGGCAAAATGGCATGACATGGGGCACGTTCAGCTTGCTGAAGGGATTGAGTGACGCACATAATCTTTTTTGAATGAAAATTAGTTGCCAACATTTAAAAATAGTAAAACTCAGGGCACCTGGCGGATTCAGCTGGTAAGGCATGCCACTCTTGACCTCAGGGTCATGAGTTCAGGCCCTACGTTGGGTGTAGAGGTCATTTAAAAAATAAAATCTTAAAAAAAAAATTAAAATGATAAAACTCCAGATTTCTGATTTCTCTTCTAAGAAAATAGAAAGTCCTGCCTACGGAGTCTAGATACCCACAAAGTAACAATTAGCTGCATCTGCTGGGTTACTGACCCCTATGAACAGGAATGCAGACACAAAACACCCTGGCCTGTGACATTTGGCTTTGTCACCTGCTTCTGCTGACCCTGTAGATGGTGAAATTCTAGTGATAAACTCCCAAAGAGCTAGAGTGGCTCCTAGCAAGATCTGACGGTAAAGTAATTGCAGACAATATATCTAAGGAACGCTGTGCCAATCAAAAGGGAAACCTCAAGATAAACAAATATTGGTGCAGCCTTTCCAAGCACAAGCCATAAATAATTCACTTAACTTTTCTTACTACTGAGGAACCTTAGGCTCAGAAAGGTTAAGCCACTTTGCCCAAAGCAACCCAGCAAAAAAGCAGTGTGCATAGGACTTAAAGCTAACTTAAGGCTCCAGAGCCCTCTCTCTTACCCGCAAAGTCAATGACTCCTCTTAGTACACTGGGGACTTTGTGTGACTCTGTGTCCTTCCATGCAGATGACCCTGGGCAGTTGATTCAACCAGAATTCCAGGTCTGAGGCTGAAGTGACTCCACAGATTGGTTCTGTAATCCATGCCCTCATAGATCATTAAGGAATTAAGTGTGTTTTGAACGGACAATGAGTTTAAAAATTCCAAATTCATCCAAAATGTAGTTAAATTTATCAGTGGGGATAAAGCCAGAGAGCCAACACTTCCCCTCAGGAACTTTTCCTCTCTGTAAATCTTGAAATCGAAAGTACTCATGGATGCAAAATGCTTTCCAGCTTTTGTCTGCTTGTTTAGTTCTATTCTCTAAAATGTATTATTATCTGAAATGGTCTTCACTAAGTGCTATCAACAAAAAGAGAAGACAGGAAGCTGTTGATTACTGAAATCTTCACACTTGACCCTGATGAATTTGATCAAATTATGTATGATGGCAGTAGCTAAAATATGATTCATTTCCAAATGAACACCCTTACAAAGAGGATGGGAGGAGAAAACAACCACCACCACAGTATAAAGGCTTGGAAATAAATCCTCCGGAGGAATTCTGCCATTGTCTTGCCAACTCCAACTGGTTATATAGTCATTTGTTAAATAACCACTGGACTGTTCCCTTTTTCTTCCAGAAACATTTTCATCCTACATCAAAAAGCACTAATTGCAGAGTTATCAATCAGGTGCGCAATCTACTACAAATTGCAGCACCAATGCCACCAATTCCAACCAAGCTGAAGCAACATCATGATCCAGTCTGCCCCAGCAACTTCATGATGTATCCCCCACAAATGCCACATCTTCTCTAAAGGTCTTATTTTCTGTAGCTGCCGTGAAATCAACATGACTTTTGTGAGTCATCTGTTTCAAACGTTCGTTCTGTTTCACTTGACCCCAAGCAGACTACAAAGCAAAGTGTGGAACACCGACTATTTGCCATTTTGCTTTGTGATGCTAATATTTCCATGCACTTGGGAAAAAAAAAATGTGAACCCCTGGCTACCTGATCTTACCTGTCCAAGGCAATGGCAGGGAAGCTGAGGATAGTCACGGAGCAGAAGACTTTGTGCAAAAATTTGACGACCTTGCAGAAGAGCATGGTGTAGATCCACCAGCAACAGTGAGGACTAGTGCTAAGGATGATGTCAAAAGGCACACACACCAGGCTGGCACAAATCCCAGAGCAGGCCAGGTTTTTAATGAACCTGTTGGTGACAGATTTGAACACGGTTGTGCGGCAAGTTGACCATAACACCATGAAGTTTCCTGGCCAGATATGCAAAAAAAAAAAAAAAAAAAAAAAAAAGTTTTTTAAATTAAAAATAATAAATTAAATAAAAAGAAAGAAAGAAGACAAAAAAGGAAAAAAAGAAACCAGTTAAAAAAAAGATTGAAAAGCCATTTGAGAGTTTATTTCAAAGAATCATTTAAATACTTACATATTACATTGTCAATGTGCGTAAAATTATTAAATCACTTATGTACACACCAAAAAGTCTAGGAGAAATTTTAGTTGTAAGTTTTGTTATTTAACTTTAGACTTAACAATATAAGGTAATGATTCGGTCTCATCTGAGTATAAAGAATTTGCTACACATTACTTAATCTCAGGCAGCCTACTTTTACCAAGTTTGCGAACAACCTCCATGTTGCCAAACTCTGCAAGACAAATACGACGCAAGCCATACGTGCCATTAAAAACTTCTAGTGGCCATATTTTTCAAAAATAAAAAGAAGTAGGTGACATTTTAAGATTATACTTTATTTAACCCAGTATCCCAAACATTATCATTTCAACATGTAATCATTACTTTCAAAAGTACTGGTGAAATATTTTTCATTCTTGATTTTGTACCTGTTTCTGAAATTTGGTATGCACTTTTTCAGTGTTTATTTATTTACTTATTTTTTGAGAGAGAGAGAGATAGAGAGCAAACTGGGGAGAGAAGAGGGAGAGAAAGAATCCCAAGTAAGCTTTGCGCTGTCAAAGCAGAATCCAATATGGAGCACCGACCATAAGATCAGGACCTGAGCTGAAAACAGGGGCTGGATACTTAACCGACTGAGTAAGCCAGGCATGCCGGGTGTGCATTTTTTAAACTGAAACATAATTGCCCTATAATATCATATTCATTTTAGGTGCCCATGGTGTACATTTTATTTTACGCTTACAACACATTTCAATTTGCACTAGTCGCATCTCAAGTCCTCAATAGCAACTTGAGGCTACCATACAGGTTTGTACTGTTCTAGACCTCCAGCAGCAATGATACATCTTTGAGCACTTCCCTATTGCGGCTTCCACAGGCCTATACTCTCCTGGTTTTCTCCTACCCTCCCACCTCTCTCATTTTCTCAGCTACCTCTCTCCTCACTTAAAAACTGAATTATTTGGTTCTAAGAACTTGAATCAGACCACAATATTGGGAAAGGAGCACCCACACTCAATGCCTAATTGACCACACATAAGAAAATGTGTGTACATATACACTCTCTCTCACATTCTCACTCACACTTACAAGCACATGAGCATACACATACATATGCAGACACACAAATAAACACACAACAAAGTAAGATAATTATATATTTGGTCATTTCATCCTATTAGCACTTTAGATTCTTTTTAGCTTCGTAAGGCATACTATGGACAAGTATACGTTTTACATAACACACTATTCAACCTTGAGATACTTTTTATTTTAGAGATCATGTTCTAAATCACCTAATCCGGGGCGCCTGGGTGGCTCAGTCAGTTGAACAACCGACTCTGGCTCAGATCTCACAGTTCATGGGCTCGAGCCCCATGTCCGGCCCTGTGCTGACAGCTCAGTCTGGAGCCTGCTTCGCATTCTGTGTCTTCTCTCTCTCTGCCCATTCCCAGCTCATACTCTCTCTCTTTCAAAAATAAACAAACATTAAACAAAAATTTTTTTAATAAATAAAATAAATCACCTAATCCCCCTTGGAAATAATTCAAGTTCTGTACCCATTACTTCTCCTGATATATTCTCATTATATATTCTAATACTAGATTCCATGACAATATTCAAAGCCCAGGCTATGGGCACAGCAACAAGGTACACACTCACAACCCTCAAAACCATTTGGACAAACCTACTGTCCCTGGGAGTACTGTTGCTCTATCATTCCTCCCAATCTAAAATATAAATAAAGATTCCTCTTTACCTGGTAGACTTCCTACTTAAAAATAACTGATGTTGAAGACACAGACATGTCAATTAACTACTACTCACAGACAGTACTTGACAGACCTTGAGGAACTAACCAGGAAATATTTTGCAAACTAAATTTTGCCTCTAAAATTTTTTGACAATGGCTGTCCTTTTTAACTGGTTCACAGGCTTGGCATCTTTGAAACTAATAATCCTTGTGTGTTAAAGAGACTAATTACCAAAATAAAGTATTCCAAAAGTGACTTGGAAAATAATGTGCCTTTGGGAATCTTCCTGAGAAAACAAATTGCTCTTTAAAAACACTCAGCTTCCCCAGACTCACAGCAGCAAGAAAATTCATGGTCATGCTTTTACAAAAAATAACATACCACACAGAATATTCTAAAAACTGAAACTTGAAAAAAGCAAATGAAAAGTTGAGGCAAATGTTAAATTATAAGAAAAATTCTAAGAAGACAAACAGCCAAGAGAGAGGCCAAAGTGAATCAGCAAGGATTAGAAAGACTACAGAGGAATGTTTATACTCAGCAAACACCATGTAATATAAGAGCAAATCTAAGCAAGTGAAGTAATACTATTCCATAATAGAAGAAACGAAACACAACTACTGTGTGTAGAATGGAATTTTAAATTTCTTCTTAGCTTCAGTTTGCAGCCAAAAAATAACCAAGAACAGAGTCTCTTAGGTTAAAAGAATTATGTAAAATGAATTATTAGTAAATGCTTTTAATTAACATGCCAGATAATAATAGGAATGACTTTTAGTCTGTATTTTTATTTAAAGTGGCTTTCCTATAGGTAGCAAATAGTTGACTCTTACTTCTTTAACTGATCTGGCTCTTTTAATTGATGTGCTTAGATCATTTGTATTTAATGTAAATATTAATATGGTTGGAGTAAAACCTGCCATCTTGTTACTTGTTTACTATTTGTTCTATCCATTCTTTGTTCCTTTTTTTCCTCTTTACCTTCCTGATGTTGGATTGAATACTTTTCAGATTCCATTCTATTACCACTATTGCCTTTTTACATACTTTAAAAAATTTTTTGTAATGGTTTCCCTATGTGTACTATTTACATGTTTAATTACAGTTAACTTTCAAATTCTATTATACTGCTTCACATGTAGTGTAACAATCTTCTAACAGTATATTCCTAACTCCTTCCTACTAACCTTTGCACTTCCAGTGTCATACAATATTTTTATATAAATTACAAACCCAAAATATATCGCTGAAATTTTTATTTTCAACAATTAATTTTTAGAGTAATTTAAAATGAGACATAAAAGTTTTTTTTATTTATCTTCACTTAAACCACTTTGTGAGATCTTCATTTCCTTGTGTATTTCCAAGTTTCTGCCTGCTATCATATTCCTCATGCCTGAAAAACTTCCCTTAACATTTTTTGTAGAGCAGGTCTGCTAATAATTAATTCTCTCAGTCTGTCTGAATGTCTCCCTTTTTCCTTCATTTATTTTTTTTTAATTTTTTTTAATGTTTATTTATTTTTGAGAGAGACAGAGACAGAATGCGAGTGGGTTAGGGTAGAGAGAGAGGGAGGCACAGAATCCAAAGCAGGCTCCAGGCTCTGAGCTGTCAGCACAGAGACCAACACGGGGCTCGAACTCACCAGCTGTGAGATCATGACCTGAGCTGAAGTCGGACACTCAACCGACTGAGCCACCCAGGCACCCCAATTTCCTTCATTTATTTTTGTGAAAGAGAGAGAGAGTGTGCATGCACATGCGAATGGGGAGGGGCAGAGAGAGAGAGAGAGAGAGAGAGAGAGAGAGAGAATCTTAAGCAGGGTCCATGCCCAGCACAGAGCCCAACTTGAGATTCAATCTCTCCATCATGAGATCATGACCTGACCTGAGCTAAAATTAAGGGTTGGTCACTTAACCAACTGAGCCACCCAGGTGCCCCTTTCCTTCATTTTTAAAAATGTTTTCATGTTTACTTATTTATTTTTGAGAGAGAGAGAGCATGCATGCAAGAGCATGCATGCATGAGTGGGGAAGGGGCAGAGAGAAGAGGGAGAGAGAATCCCAAGCATGCTCCACACTATCAGCGCAGAGCCAGATGTGGGACTCAGTCTCATGAACCATGAGATCATGACTTGAGCTCAGATCAAGAATTGGTCACTTGACCAACTGAGCTACCCAGGCACCCTTCCTTCACTTTTGAAAGACATTTTTGCTGGGTATAATTTTCTGAGTTGAATGAAGTTTTCCTCTAGCACTTGACAGATGTCACTTTATTATCTTCTGGATTTCATATTTTCTGATAATATGTCTGCCATAAATCTTACCTCTGTTCTTCTCTGTGTATTCTGTCCATTTTCTCCAACTGCCTTCAAGGTTTTCTCTTTCTCTGGGGCACCTGGGTGGCTCAGTCAGTTGAACTTCTGACCAGCTCAGGTCATGATCTCACGGTCTGTGAGTTCGAGCCCCGCTTCGGGCTCTGTGCTGACAGCTCAGAGCCTGGAGCCTGCTTCAGATTCTGTGTCTCCCTCTCTCTCTGACCCTCCCCCGTTCATGATCTGTCTCTCTCTGTCTCAAAGATAAATAAACATTAAAAAAAATTTTTTTTAAAGATTTTGTCTTTCTTTTTGGTTTTTACCAGTTTGAATATGATGTGCCTAGAAGTATCAGAGTGTGTGTGTGTGTCTGTGTGTGTGTCTTTGTGTGTTTGTATACACCTGGTTCAGGCACTCCAATCTTCTTGGATCTATGATTTGATACCTTTTATTATTTTTGGAAAATTCCTGGCCAGTCAATATTTCTTCAATATTTCTTCTGGCCCATTCTCTCTCACTTCTCTTTCTGGGATTCTAATTACATGTGGTATGTGTGGTAAGCACAATAATGCCCCATCACCAAAGATGTCTATATCCTAATCCCTGCAACTTACGAATATGTTAGGTTACATGACCAAGAGGAATTAAAGCTCCTGCTCAGTTGACCTTAAGATAGGGAGATTATCCTGGATTATCATAGTTTTTAATTATTGTCTATGTGATCATATCAATATCTGGATCATACCTGAGTTAAGATTGTGATTCTGT